AGTTCAACAAACAGTTCAACAGACACATATTCAAGTGTCGCACTGCTGTTCAATTACTCGTCTCCATTCTACATTGTCCTTGCTTTGACATCTGCAGTGACAATCTACTGAACATACAGTAACTTAAATTTCCATGACCTTTCAGCAAGAATTAAATTTCATGACTTTTCAGGTTGTTTCCCTGATGAGGTCTATTAACCCTGTTCCTAAGCTGCAGATGAGAGATGGATTTGTTGCATTTTTCCTGTCAACTTCAAAGTGAACAGTTCATTGATTTTCTAAGGCCATCACACTCGATATGATACAGAAGAAAACTCCCTGACAGCCTTATTCATTACTCAAGAACAACTATCTTGTTGTTGTTGTTCTTTGCAAACTACGTCACATTCAATGCAACAGTGTGTTTAAATTTAATTATTATAGCGCGCACTAAAAGCTTCTAAGCTGAATACGTCAACTTCTATGCAAGCATTTTTTTTTTACCGTTTTCGAAAGTCTTAATATTGATACCAAGAGAGAGTTTTAAAAAGGCTTTAAAGATGAGACAAAAATGGTTTTGCAAGTTATATTGCAATGGAAAACTACTCATTCAGTGAAAATATTTATTTGAACATACATGTAACAGAAGACTTTGCAAGAAATGAATATTGCACATGCCATAGTGTGTGCAGAAGACAACACTAATGTCATTCACTCTCAATCTGGCCAATCAAAAAATTGATTTTTTTTACTTGACCAGATCTCGCCTTCAGCTTCATCAAAAAGAGATCTGGGTACGAGATTATATTGAAATAATTTATTATAATAGCGACTTTTATTATTATTATTATTATTATTATTATATAGTTTATATTATTACTTACAGGTATCCTTTGTGAACTAGATGGCAACAGTTTTGATTGGACAATGTGCAAGCAAGATGACAATATGCCCAGGTTATTTCATGCAAGTCCATCCTCTAAGTTTATCTTACCACAAAATGGCAAGTTCCAAAATACCTACTTATGTGTAAAGCACGGCAAATCAAGGCACACAGCAGTATGGACACTAGAAAGTTTAAGACGTAGCAATGCGAACCTATTTGAATTAGATCCATCTAAAGAAAGGCAAACAGGACAGTATCTTATTCCTGAAGGGGGATTGTGTAAAGAACTTTGTGGGAAGGTAGTGGTTTTGTTTTCTAAAGCATAGAAAACCACCAGTAAAGAATTTATTCAAGAAACACTGAATAATAAGTTGCTGTTACTACTTACTTGCCAAGAAACAATGCGGTTTACAGGGACCATTTCAAATAATCAAGTATGATTACTTGGCTATATAAGGACATGGCAACAGAATCAATGTTATGTTTCCCCCACAAAAGAAAAAAGTTCTATTCTTGAGATGTTTTGCCAACAATTTTATTAACCTGAAGTGAATAAGAAATTCTTCCAGACTGGGCAACTAGAAGTTTCTAACATGGTGATCTTGATCTACCAATAAATTATTATAAAACTATTCAGGGAATCTTCATATGCTGCACAGTCTACACTGAAGTGAAAAAGTCAGTAAAAAGTAGTGACATTTAGTAACACTTTGCCTGTACGAGTTTGATTATCTTGTCATAACTAAATATTAAAAGGTAACCAAAGGGATGTAATAACACTTATATTATTAATAATATTCCATTCTTAACAAACAAGATTTTAAACAAAATATGGCAGCTGAATCCCAATAATAAATCCAATTGTAAGCAGAATGTAAACGGTAAGTAAAACTGTAAAAATTGCCATTTCTAGTTAAAACAATATTATTTCAAATGGGTCATTAGGGAATGACAAAATTAAATTAGGACTGTGTTACTGAGATTCAATTGTTGACAGAAATGCAAAAAAATAACTTGATTTAATTTTAATGTCTTTGAAATAGACCAGCTATTTCTTTGTAATAAATTTTTATCCCACTTTTATTATATCGTTAATATTTGAAATTTAACATTGCTTTGAATCACAACTTATAAATAAATTCCAT